ATTGTCCCAGCAGTTTCAATTTGCCATGGTGCTATTCACTTCCTTTCAAGATGCTGTGGAGTATTACAGCGTGCTGACAAGCAGCTGTTACATTTCACCCAAGAAGTGACTGCATGGCAGTGGCGGGTGAAAGCCATTCCTGCGCGTGCACTGTGTGCTTGCACACGGTACTGGGACTAGAAAACGCTTTGGGGTTCCTCGAGGGTGAGCAATGCCACATAAGCGCAGAGTAATAGCTATCAAATAGCAGAATATATGACTCACTATGCTGTAGCTAGGATGTTCTGGATATTTTTTTTTTTTCAAATTGAATACAATCTGTAAAAAGATTCTCCCTCTGAACAGAGTATCATAGCACAACAAAAATGAAGTGTGAATTATCAGAAATTCTAGCCTGTACACTTAAACACACAGTTACAGCCACAGTGTAACTTATTTAAACAACTGAAAAAATTAACAACATAGACAAGAGAGGCCGATAGCAAACACGTTATTTGGAAACCACTGGCCAGACAAATGCCACTGCTGCACTGTGTGCACATCCCATCTGCTCCCCATCTTCAACTCCTTGTGCACCTGATGTGCCAAAGATCAGACTTTTTACGTTTGTTTGTTTGACAAACAAGGCTTTTATCCTGCTTATCCAGCTTCTTACCCATGCCTTAAAAGAGGCAGCCATCCCTTATTTCCTCTACTGAACCACTGAGGAACCCTGTAATATCAGTATTTTACTCCAAAGGGGAATAAAACCTCTGTTACCTTCACAATGGGTGACTACTGTAGAAGGGTTCATGGGTATTTCACAAGTGCCCCCCAAGAGCAGATGAGGATAGCTCAGCTCCAAGGGTGCTATCATCACTTTGAGATCACTTAGATCACTATTGACTTCTCTACAAAGAAACCCAGTGCCTGACACATCTACACGTTCACTATCTCAGCCAGTAATTTTAGACCATCTTCTTCCTCCATGCCTTTTTCTTGCCAGGTCATGAAATAGAGATCCATGGAACTCATACCTCAGTTCCAACAAAACCCCTCTGACACCTTTAGGCATCTCTGCACAATCTCAAAAGAAAAAAAAACAACAAAAAACAAACCAAAAAACCCCAAACCAAAAAAACCCCACAACCACCGAACCCTAAACAGAAATGGAAAAAAGAAACCATGCTACTCTTAATTAAAAAAGGTAAGGGTATTCTCTGATGGCCTACCCAAAAGAGGAAGATTCCAGCTAATAAACAAGAAGTTGCTGTCTGACCAAATGACTGATCCGTGTAGTCACACATCTTAATAAATAAATTCACTGATAATATTCATGCCACGTGATCAAACTGCAGATTACAGCTTCCCCAGACACAAACAAAATCATGCGACATGCCTGCTTTGCTATGGAAACCACTTGGTGTTATATACAATATTCATTAGAAGGGTGAGTGCTATCAGAGCTACAAAACTGTATGCCAAATAAGCTTCTGCTATTAATAGCATACTGATATACACATTTGCATAAGATTATGTCCTCCTCCTAATTATTTCCTAAGCTAGACTTCAACTATGAAATCAAGGTGTTCTAGTTCGTTTAAAATTTTGTCAGGCCTATGAACGACCTATGAAGCCAAATTTTGTTTGGCCTGTGAAACATTGGCAATTTTACTTTAAAGAAAACCTTATGCTCACAGACTGCAAACAAACAGCAGAATTAATGACTTAAGTCTGAACATGCCCTGAAACGGTTATAGTCTTTCTTTTTTATCAGTATCTGACTAATTTTATCAGATCATTCAACTATTGTAACAGTTTTACCCGACAGACTGCTGGTTTCAGCCTTACTGAGTAAGCTCAGGTACAGCAAAACCTTGAACAGGCCTATTTTTTACAAAAATAAAAGTGAGGAAAAGGTGATGATCCCATCTCTGCTGTAACCATGCTTAGGTCTCTCCTAACTCCTAGTTTTGCATTACTGACTTCTCGAACAATATGGGCAATGTACAGCACATAAAACCAGAGCTGAGCCTAGGGCAGGTCTAACAGGGCAGACCTACAGTGAAACCTGTCACCTAACCTCTGGACAAGCCTCCGGCACCTTGACAACTGTTGGAATTTCAATCAAATCATGAAATGCTTCCTTTCAACTCAGAAATCAGGCTAGCAGGCGTGCTAGATATGTCACCACTTGTTTGCAGACTCTGCTGTAAGATGAAGGTGCCTCCAGACTGATGAAGGTGCCTCCAGACTGATGAAGGTGCCTCCAGACTGATGAAGGTGCCTCCAGACTGATGAAGGTGCCTCCAGACTGATGAAGTCAGATAATGTAGAAGATGAACAAAACCCAAGAGCTTTTTCACATCTCCAAACAGTCCATTTTCCCTCACCATTTCCATGAGCAGCTCTAGCAACAGGGGACAAGTGCAGACCGGCTTCCTGTGGTACCACGTGTCTCCTCATGCTCCTAAGATGCAAAAGCTAACTGAAGCTCCTCCAGCACCCAGGACATCGTACCTTCTCCTGCTCCTGTTCATTCCCGGGCAGCTGCCATTCACACTGCTGCATTTTCACCCCTGCACCTCCCCATTTTAGGAAACGTTGAGTTTTCCATGCCTCTTTCGTCTACAGTTTTTATTTCTGGCTTCCCCAATGTTTTTGGAGGGTGTAATGACTTTGCTTCTTTGTAAGTTAAGCAGCGCATCTCAGGACCCTACAGCAAGGCAGCACAGAGCTGACATCCTCACAACCATTGCCTTCCACCAGCTTCTCTATCAGTATGAATTTCTAGGGGTTATGTAAGCTATTCTGGAACATAAAATCCAAAAGTTTTCTGGCTGGCTTTCCCGCTCATCTACCTACTCAGTACCTCTAATGTGAAAAAAAAAAAAAAAAAAAGATTTTCACATTATCCAAGAGCATGGGAACAGAGAAGTATAGAATCAATTGTCATTTAATTAATCCTAAATCTTTCTCTTTCATGCGTCCATCATTAAAAAAAAGTCTACTTCAAAAATTAAACTTGTATCAATACTAAGCATGCTAATAGGATTTAGCAGCGAAACACCTACCAACATACCGAAAATGGGTGTGGTACTACTGAAACCCCAAGCTGACAGGTGGTTTCTGTGCAAGTGAAATTAACTTACCACTCTGTGAGACAGAGAGAGAGAGTTATGTCAAACACGGAGCACAGTCACTTACAAAAATGCAGGACTATCATATTCCCACAAATATTTGCCTTAAGTATACATGCTATGAAAAATACAACTTTAAAAAGAGTTGGGTTTTTGTTCCCCTCTAATGATTTACCCCTTTACCTTGTCCTTAAGAATATACTCTATGTTTAACAGGGAAGTACAGAAATGGCAGTGTATTGCCATCTTGAGGCTTGCTAGCAGAACTGCATGTCCAAAACAAAATACATATATTTGTTACCAAGCACAAAAGTCATTTAGCCAGATGTGCCAAAGCCGTTACAACACATACAGCATTAACACCATATGTTTTATCTTTATTTTTATGTCAAGGCCTCTGTAGTTCCTTTTCTGGACTGGATATTCTTTTAAAGAGGGAAAACCTTAACAGAACTAAAAAAAAAAAAGTGTGCTATTTAGCATCTTAGATCTTGTTAGAAAGAGAATCAAAAATATTCACCTCATTCTTACAAGAAAAATCTGCAGTTAGAGCTTAACTAGTAATACAGATTTCCTTACTTTGAAATTACTACTCAAGTTTAGCTCAGCACCAAAGACTGATTCAGTTTAAGAAACAAGTTACATTAAAATATTACCCCAAATTACTGCATGTAGTATTATGAAAATTACATACATTGCATGTCTTAATGTAGATATTGTTATCACATAGGAGTGTTCATAAAGAAATCAGCATGCATGGAGCTGCTGGAGCAAGTCCAGAGGAGAGCTACCAAGATGGTCAGAGGATTGGAACACCCTTCCTATGAGGACAGGCTGAAAGAGTTGGGCTTGTTCAGCCTGGAAAAGAGAAGGCTCCGGGGAGACCTTGTAGCGGCCTTCCAGTACCTGAAGGGAGCCTACAAGAAGGCTGGGGAGGGACTTTTTACAAGGGCCTGCAGTGATAGGACGAGGGATAATGGTTGGAAGCTGGGAGAGGGCAGGTTTAGACTAGATATAAGGAAGTAGTTCTTCACCCTGAGGGTGTTGAGACACTGGAACAGGTTGCCTAAGGAAGTCGTGGATGCTCCATCCCTGGCAGTGTTCCAGGCCAGATTGGATGGATCCTCGAGCAACCTGGTCTAGTGGGAGGTGTCCGTGCCATGGCAGGGGGGTTGGAATTAGATGATCTTTGAGGACCCTTCCAACCAAAACCATTCTGTGATTCTATGATTCTATGAAGACATTTTGGTATGGGTTTAAAGGGGTAAGAATCACCAAACTACATTCAAAGGTAGTAGCTATGTAAATTGTCCTTGCAAGAACCCACCTTTAAACAAATCTCTGTATCACAAACCTATGCAATACTCTGGCATCCTGCTCAAATAAAATCTACAAACGTCAAATACATAACCACTCATATTTTAGTGTGTTTTTTTCCTTTTTCTTTTTTTTTTTTTTTTCTCCAAATTTAGCATCTAGTTCAGAAAAGATCACTTGGAAAACACATGTCTGTTGATATTCTCACCCTTGAAATGGCATGGAACACATTCTGTTGAAGTTACAGTCACATGGGAAGCAGCAAGTTGAAACTGCAAGGTATATATATATGGGTGGTATATATGCTTTCAATAGAGGTCAGAGACATCTGATTTTGCTTGTTTGTAAAACCAGTTACATCTATGAGGCTACTTACAAAGGGCTACTGGTTTACAAAAACTGCTAAATCTGTTTTTCTTCTCCTCTTTTCTAAACAAACTGGACTGCACTCAAAACACAAATAGCCATTTGAAGACTGTTGTTTTTACACTCACAGTGAAGTACGTTTCCCTGAGCTATCCAAAGGTCTTTAAGTGAGCAAGAAAAAGCCTCTCTAAAAGTTACCTGCTTGGTTTGCAGCCTGCCAGCCCGAGTACTTGGCAGCACCCGGGGGTCCCATCGGCTTGAGGGCTGCAGCAGGCGTGGTGCTGGTGGGGGCAGGTCTTGGGTCCACATCTTCTTGGCATGCAGGCACGCTCCTTGCCGAGGTGGCCATAAAAGCAGAGGGCTGGGTAGCCTCCAGGGAATCACTGTTCAGAAAGCAGGGAGGAAAAAATAAAACTAATTACTTGCTAGAAAAAGAGAACCTGTGAAACAGATGTGGAGTGACATCCCCGCACCCTGGTGCAACACAGCATCACCCACTACTCTGTCATCACTGATGCTGGGGTCATCACCCCAGGACAATGCTGCGGAAGCTACATTTTCAAGCTGTTTCTTTAAGTACTGGACACCTGAGTAATTTCTGCCAAAAGTTAATATAGACAACTACATCCCTTCACAATTTCCATTTAAAATAATTAAGTGTTGGCATGTCACAGGTTAAAGCAGAACCCCTACTGTAAATTGGGTACACTCCCAGACTTTTCCAATACTTTTTTTTTTTTTCTTGGAGAGTAGGCAAATACTTATATAGCCAGATTACACTTGTAGATCTTAATAAAAATCATCAATCTAAAAGTGACTGAATTAAATGCAATTTTATTCTATGGGCCACTGCTCATCAAGCAATTAAGTATTTTAAAAGAGATGTAAGTTTCTTTATTCATTAAACAACATGCACAATACATTATATTGCCACTTTAGAGCAGTCTACAGCTGCTTTTGTATTTTAAGGGTTATCAGAACTCTTTTAACTATTTAAAAACACTCATGATGAAAACTGCACTGAATCACAATTCATGTAGCCTGTAAGTAGCTACTAATTACATTGCCAGCAAGAAAATTTTTTTTCTCATTTCCACAGGCTCTTCAAGAATGAGAAAGTTATCATAACAAATTTTTTATGCAGTGTAACAGTATTTGTATAATGGATCTTTGCCTTTGGGAAGCTGAAAACAATTATTTTCATTAAAAATCTTCACAGTAAAGGAGTAATTGCTAACAAAGGTCATTTGCAAACTAAGAGGATCACAAAACCAGGAAATTAACTCAACAGCGTTTCAAAACCCAGCCAAAACAATTCCAAATACATATTTTGTGCATCTGGAAAGCCATCAGTTAACACATTAGAACCCTTATATTCTTTCCTCTATTGAAGCAAAACAAATTTATAGCACACATGCATCGCGCGTATTTCACCGGGGTCATTCACAGAATTATAGATTGTGCCAAACTTGTGAACTAAAAATTCTTGAGCTATTTTTACTTTACAAGTATTGCACACGCACAACATTGCCTTGCCCATTTGACACGCAAGAACTTGAACACACCATGAGGCCAAAATGCAAGCAAGTTCATAACCTTGACTTTTTTGTCTCTAGATTCACAGGGTTAATAATTGATGTATTCAGAATCTTTTTCTGGGTAAGGGATAAAAAAAAAATTCAGTTTAGAGAATATCTCTGAACGCTCAGTTTAATGAGTAACAGCTATTGCATTTGTAGGCTCTTGGTAACAGTGGTAGCTGTGCCAAACTGATGGATTTGCTAAACACAGCGTGCACAAGCCCAGTGAAGCACAAAGGGAGACCCTGCATTGTTACTTTCAAATGTTAAAGATCTTTAAAGACATTTGTGTAGCGCAAATGGAGGTATTTAAGGTACGCGTTAGACTCCTTAAAGCCTTAGGATGCAAGTCTTTTTAACAACAGATTTTGAGGCAGTGGAGATACACTGTATAAAAGTGCTGTTGCAGACTGAAAGAAAAAGGATGGGCAGACATCCTCTGACATGAAGTAGCAGCTCAGTGGTTGAAGACAAGGTAGTTTTGGACTTGCTTCCACTATGAAATAAGTGCATGATTGCCACTTCAGTGTCACAGAAACACCCTTCTATACTGTTGAGTACATTTGACAGTTAACTCACCAAACCTGCTCCAGGTCAGAGCCCCATTACAACTTTAAAAATTCCTCAAAACACTGTTGGTCCTAAAAAAAGCTTCCTCCTTCTCCATCACCACTTGACAAATCACTTTTCAGGTCTAGAATCTCCTTACTGCCTTTGTCTGGAACATATAAATCATAAATAATACAAATCATCTGTCACAAATAAGAAAATCCTGCTAAGTCAGCAGCGGTCTTTACATAGAAGAGGCTACTTAACAAGCAAAAAGGGTATCCTTCAGGCAGAAGGAGGACAGAAAAACGTAGAAATGGCTAGCTGTGCTGCTGGCAAACTGCAGCCTTATTACAGATACAGGTGAGGAAGTAGACACACATATCCACAAGGCTAGTTGTAATGCTGATTGGTATCTCCATTGCCATTTTTGCGGTTTAATTCTGAGGCTTGTGAATGACATGGCATGCTAGTTCCTGAAGTAACAGATCACTGGAGACACTTAGGCTTTCATTTAGAAATTAGGTGAATCCTAATGACCCCAAACTAAAAGACAATGATAAACCCAGCTATAAAACCACCCGCGGTTTTTTTTTTTCTTTATCACCTCTGGTGGTTTACATGCTAGGAGCCTACCCTACAGAGAAGCTTCCCAAGGGAAAAGCTTGAGGCCACCACTCTCACAGAGGGGATCATGTTGGCCTCAGGGCAAAACTTCTGATAGGTCTTTGACACCTTTTGTACTTTGTACCTTGTTCTTTCAAGCAAGAGTTGAATAAACTCAAGCGGGCACTACAGCCTGTTATAGGGAGGCTGCTACTGCAGCTTGGCAAGTCTCTCCCATGTGATATTGTCCACCTGTGGTGGGCTGCAGGAAATACTGCACACACTGGTTTTCCTGAGTTACAGCCTCTAATCACACACTTGCCTGGGAGTGCACGTGCAGCATTCTCTGTAGAGAGAAAGGTAGATCCATCTCACTTTAAAAGTAGTGCTGCACCCTGGAGATGTTCAACCTTTTAAATGCTGAACTTCTTTAAATTCATGCTTCAAAACTAATTCCTCAACATTTTACTTTATGTTCTTCTACACTGAGAAACACTCAAACTCCAATTACTTTTATCCATCTTTATAAACATAGCTATGTATCTTTTCAGAAGCACACTTACCTTCTACAAAGTGCCTGTACAATACCCACAATTAGCCCTGCTAGTATTTTGTAACTCACTAGGATATTGTACAATGACTCAAGATTATTATTATTAACCCATTACCTAGAAAATACATGGTTTAAAGAGACAACAAAATATACAGAAATCCAAGGAAATTGATAGGTTATGGAAGAGAGCTCCCATCTGCTTTTCAGTGTCCTCACTAGAAAACTGAAGAAGGCATGATAAACCTTACATATTTACCAAGTTCTGCATGAGCAGCTTTCTCAGACTTCCCAGATGACATGCATAAGTCAGGTTCAGGTCAAGCACATTTCCATGTCAAAACACTTGTACTGTTATTAAAGACAAGCCTACCTTCTAACTCTAGCCTTAACCTTTTAACACTGTGTCATAATTCTTAAATGATTCCTTTTCCACCTAATGAATACTTATACAAAACCAGAAGTTTTCCATGATGAAAACTAATGCAATCAAGAATCCTACACATGTTAAGAAAGATGATGTCGCTTGCAAGATGTGAATGCTCTGCTGTCAAGCTTTGGGCAAGGGGTTTCAACACCACAAGAAGGAAGGAATGGTGTAACATGAGCCTGACTGACTCAGAGTCTCATGTCCTGAAAACCCATGATGTGTTTAACTAATAAGCTATGGGAAGATTTTAATTAAAATAATCCTGGAAGTGGGTTATAAGGGAAAGATACTGCAAAAACAGTCTAAGAAAAAAGTTCAGCAAAGAAGAAAGCCCAAGACACCTTTGACATATGCTAGCTTGTACATGACATACTCTCCTGAATGTCTGTGGAGAACAACTCCTCCCCCACAATGGAGCCATATTCTATCAGAGTGAGGACATGTATGGAAAAAAACTTTATCGAGAGCACACAACAGGCTCCTCAGACTTACCCCCTCCTGATCAACAAAAGCACTGTGAAAACAGGCTAAAAAGCAAGCAATAATTCCTCTGCTATTCCTCCTCATCTACCTCCCTAAATACCACACACTCTATTACATTCTGTTTTCCGGTGGGAGGACAGGGAGAAAAAACACATTTGCCAGGTGACTGTTCCATCACTGAACATGGCACTGAGAGCTTCTTGGATGCTACAGAGAGACAACAGGCAAGGAACCTGCAGGGGAGGAAGCAGGTCCAGGTCACATGTGAAATGAGCACCAGTTTTTCAGAGATCACTGTGGGATATTTGCATTCATAACACCCCCCTTTCCTTCCCAAAATCAGGTGCACCAAGACAAGGCTGAACACATAGAATCATAGAATCTTTTAGGTTGGAAAAGACTTTTAAGATCGAGTCCAACTGAAAGAGTTAAACTCTGACAGTCTCTGGCTTAGGCCTCACTGTGATCTGTTTAGTTTTACTTGTGTCTTCGTTTTCCTGAGTTTTCCTTCCCCCACAAGGATGGTTTTAGCGATTTGCTGAGCAAAGTTGGTAAATAGATAACATCTTGCCTGACACCAAGGAGACAAAGCTATCTACAGGTGCCAGACGTTAAGGAAATGCCCAGCAAACATCTACACCGCTGTTTGTTACAAGAGGAGGTTGCATCAGAAAAGGGGCCCTGGCTTGTGCTCAAGAAGGAAGATTCAACTAGCATGAGGATGACTATGAGCAACCACGGGAAGATGAAAAGACCCTAACCCTAAATTTACTGTGCATGCTTGGACCATGTAGATGAATTCCGGGAACTCATCACCATAAGACTGCCCTTCTCAGGAAATCTAATGAATATGTATGATTTTTGTGTATATGAACCGGTGTGTTTTGCTAACCCATTGGAACACTTATGGTGGAGCATCCCCAGTGCTGCCCAGTGCTGCAGTAAAGAATGCCTGCTTAATAACCCTGTGTTGTTATTGGGTTTTCATCTAGGAATCATTACCCAGCCACACCTAGCTTCCCACCTCGGTGAGGAGTGTTAGAAAGCAAGCGGGGTTTGGAAGATCCGAATTTTGAATCACAACCGTCAACCCAGCACTGCCAAGTCCACCACTAAACAATGTCCCTAAGCACCACATCTACAGGTCTTTTTAATACCTTCAGAGATGGTGACTCAACTGAGAAG